TATCCGGAGACAAACCAACGAACTCTGGAAGAGATGGATTTGCTATTCAGTGCGGATAGTATATTTGCATGGGAGGCTGAGAAGGTCATATTTTCTGATATTAGAATTGGAATTGACTGCTGACCGAACCACCCGTTATCTCAAGGCGTTTGCAAGGCTACAAGCGGAACATCCAGAGGTTGTGCATCGGGCGCATACCCAGGAAAGTGATATTCCCCACGATAGCTCCTCGGCAACGTTGGACCCAGCGCATGCAGGAAAGGACTCGCTCGAGCGCTCCAGTTCATGACTTTGAAAGTAGATGATGAAATTGTACCCATGAATCTTGATATAACAAGCCCTGTGAGATTTTTAGGTTCACCATCAGCATCGGCAGGGTTGAGTTCAAAGTATTGTTGCGTGGATGCGGTTAGCGCGAAATTAAGGCAAGGGTGTCGGTTGTCATGGTGTCCCGGGTCTCTGCATCACCGACCATTTTGTTCTGTTCCTCGACCGCGCTCGCCCCCTTGGCACTGAAGAGAGATAGTTTCTGGGCTTAGACGTCACTTCCAGTCTTTACGACCTTCCTTTCCTTTAAATCAACATTAAACCCTAGACATGGCCCACTCTGACTCGGTAGACCTTTTGAAGAACATCCGTGTCGGTTACGCTGGGGGGCACCATGACAAGATGGCCAAGCGAATCGTTGAACAGAAGCGAGCCGGTAGGTTCTCAATTATTGTTTTCCATCCATTTTATATGCTAATGCGCCGTTGAACAGCCTGCGCCTTGTACACTGGGCCAGCGGCGGGCGCGTCTGTTGACTCGCTCCAAGCTTTCACCATGACTTGGGATACTTCCTGCGTCACTTCTAAACCTTCGACCATCGATATCTATCTCTCTGCCCCCAACTCTACCGCTGCTAGTGCAATCCATGTCTGGCAAAAGGTTAACTTTGCTGCTGGTACCTATACCGACACGCTCAAGCCCAAGTGGTGGAACCTGACAGCCTCGATGGGCCTACAGCTTTCGTTCGTCGAGAGCGGAACGCCTCTCTTCCTATCTACTCTCCCCGCTGGGCCTTCCTGGACCGCCAAGTACAACGCGACCGCTGCGGCTACCGCTACCGGAGGTGCCGCGGCCGCTATCGACACTAGCACCCCCGACGAGGTCTACCAAACCGTGAACAATAACTTCAACGGTGGTGGGCTCAACAAGGGCGCTCTTGCCGCGGCTGTCATCTTCCCTCTCCTAGCCGTGGGTGTGGCCCTCGCTATTTATGTCAAATTCAGTCGCAGCAAGGAAGCGAAGAAGCGTCAACGCTGGTCTCAAGCCATGGACAAGCGCATGTCCGTCGTCTCCAAGGACTGGGTCGGCGGCGGTCGCCCGTCCAACGTTGGGAGCCGCAACACCCGGGCGTCGAGCTGGTTCGTTCAGAACATGGGCGGAAGCGCTGGAAGACCTTCGTCCACTTTTGCTGCTGAGAGCGGTCAAGCAGGAATCGGCGCTCGCGGCCCAACGGGCGTTCACCCCTCGTCCATCGGATCTGTACCGGAGATGGGCCAGGTTCGCCCGCGCGTGTTGTCTTCCTTGAACGCAGACCGTACTAGTCGCGTGAGCTTCGCGGCTGACCCACGCCCATCGTTTGGCGATTCGCTGCGCCCTATGCATTCGCACAACACCCCTACACGGGCGTTCCACAATGCCACCACGGTATCGGATGATATGGAGATGAGCCCAACTCAGACGACCGGTCCATTTTCGTTGAGTGCCGAGGAGATTCGAGCCAAGGTTGCACAGGGGCACGAGCAAGGTCGCCCGAGTGTGGATGGAGAGCTCAGGGACGATATTTTGAGGATGCCAGCTGCGACTCGTGAGTTCTAATCAGGCTAGACCACAATTTTGACTTTGATGAACCTTACCTCTCGGTCAGATCTTCGTACTGGACATCAGAGCACTGCCTCTAGCGAAGACTACATCCTCCGTCCTGACAGCATGGCGCTGGCTTACGACGCACCCGGCGTGTCCGTTGAGCAACCCCCAGCGGCTCGCAGCGTTGTATCCCCCGTCGGTGCGATGCCCATGCTTCCCCCGAGCGCTTCCCCCGATGCTATGATGCATGCGTACGCTCAGGCTCGCACCAACGGACCTACCCCCGCTGGTTCTCAGCAAAGCATGCGCACGCTCTACGCACCCTCCAACGAGGGATTGAGCCCCTCTGCGGCTGTCAGGGGCGAGGACCGCAATCCGTACAGGAAGAGCGTGAATAGCGAGGTGTCGGCGTACACCGATGCGAGCGGAGACTATGTCGTTGGAAAGGCTACCTAGTCCGGTCGTTTTCTGTTGAACGACGGTCTTGGTGGTCTTAGTCTATGATTGTGCTCGTTTCTCCTCTCCTGCTCGGATGTACTCATTTTGCCTCTTGGACGGACTTCAGTTGTAACTTGTGTGGCGCGGTCTAGTCGTTTCTTCATACCCGTGGCGCACTGCCAGTTCCGTTCTTTACTTTCGCCCTCACCCGTAGTCTCCTACTGCTCGTACCTTATTTTCCCCCGTAGCGCCAAGTCGCGCCTTTTCTCCACCCACTTTTCCTCCTCACTCCGCGCTGTTAACCTTGTTGTCGTTTTTTCATAACTCTTGCGCAGAGTTGATTATTCACCCCGGCCGGTGTGTTTTCACCCCTTGGTGGTTTGGTTTTGGCTTTTGTCGTTGATTATACGTAACGTCTATATATCTGCTGTTCTGTAGTTTTTGGTCCGAGTTTTTGAATTCATTATGTTCCCGGTATACTACTCGTTGAGAGCAAGGGGACCCAGTAAAACAGGCGCCGGGACGAGACCCCCGGGCTGGATCACGTGGAAATAAGGCATCTTGGGCTGTAAAACATGGAACGGTGGGTATGCAAGCTCAAACACATCACCCTGAACTTACAGTGGATTCGATAAGGAAACGAAGCGCTTGGTCGACAAAGGGGAATATGGTCTTCTGGGGAGCGGCTGGCGCATATATCCCAGAGTTCACCCATAAGAGAGTGCATTTAGGTATTTTCAAACAACTAAACACGCTCCCCATGCCGCTCAGCTAGTGCAGGATTGACCGGGAGGGCTAAATGTGCGCTGAAATCGACTCCGCTATGGCAACTAGGCCTTCGTGCTTGCGGGTGCGCCTATGTTGTATGTATATAGGTATGGTTAAGCTGTCGGTTAGGGACTTAGAGGGACTTGGAATCCCCGAAGAGCGAAGCCCGACGGAGGATTATTCGTGCCAAGTCGGCCACAAACCGCGAGCGCGAAGCGGTAAGGCTCACGGGTGGGCGGCAATCCTGAAAGTTCACTTTCAGAGGGACGGAGGGCGGGTGCAGGAAAGGACGAAGGCGAGGCAAGAGAAAGGATGGGTACTTCCCGATCCTCTGTGTCTATGAGCCTTAATATGGCTTGGCCATGCCTTGCCTCGAGACTGCTCGAGCGTAAGTGACGTTGTACGCTGTGGGGGGAGGCGAGACGCCCGTAGCTGTCTCGCTCCTCCGCAGGCTGCGCCCCGATCCTCCCTTTCTGTGACGAGGATGAGTTATCGGCAGGTGTCCTAGTCAGACTGTCCAAACCGGGCAATTGATGCCATAGTGGCCTCGGCAGCTCGATGACACTCCCCGGAGTCTAGAAGAGACTTTGCCTCTGAAAGCGTAGCCAAAGTAGTTGGCCCAGTACTCAGACTATCTAGTTCAACCTTGTTTGAATGTTCGCGGCAAATGCCCACCACGGCATCCTGCTCTATACTGTAGCGCAGCCGAGGCTCGGTAGCAACTTCATCGGGCATAAGCGAAACCCCACCAAGTGAGCGACAGCTAGAATTCATCGCTCCTGGTCCAAAGAATGACTCGATGTTGGTACACACCTCCCCACAGCAGAAAATCCAATGCTCTGTTTGAGCTGAGGCAAATGCAGACGGCTGCGAACTGTGTTAACGCTAGGTAGGCGCATTGCCTTTGCCACAGCATACGTCAAGCGTGGCCCACCAATATTCAAGTATAGCGCGGCAACCTGTACCTGCTTTTCCCGAGAGATGCAGACACCTAAGTTAGTTCCTGAGCATGTACTCTAATGCCTAACGTGAGCTTACAGAGTACGATTGTGGACTAAATAAGCCTTGATGAGCCTTTACAAGTCCATCAATTATTGTTTGGACACCGGCACCATTTCGCAGAGCAGTCTGGATAATACGAATGTGCTGTTTGCGTTGAACCCAAATGTAAGCTATGGGTGAGTCGAGGAAGACGGTGTTGAAATGGAGCCTGGTTTCCAGCCAGAGTGGGGATAGGCCAAGGATTTGGCTGAAGAGTCTACGCCGGCAGGTTTTGAGTCGGGGAATAGGGACGTTAAGAGATTACCAATAGCTGCAAGCTTTTGCTGAGCAAGTTGAAAGTTTTTCGAGAACATGTGCTGTGTTAGCGAATAGTCGGATAATCCAGCACCAAGCTTCACACCATGGCCATAGAAACAGCATCGTTTAGCTCGAACAAGTGTCTTCGAGCACTTGAACCGCTCAGTTTATGTCTTAGGGTAGGGTCTAGCAGGTCGCACGTAGAGACCAACAGGGAGCACAGGGCTAGGCAACGACACAAAAATCATGGCGGGAGTCGGGTAGGCCATAGCAGTCTGCGTCACCCTTGACTTTCCCCCCGTTTTGATCTTCTCGCCGCCACGATCTTCAGGCACACTTTTCACGCAGAGTCGCACAGCGATGAGACAGCAAACATATATTCTTTAAGTAGCATACATGGTGACTCCGGAGAGTAACTCTTCGTCAAACACGTGGTTCACCACGAGTGTCACGTGACTCTACCCCACAATCCCACCGTCCTTAGCCGAGTCGAAAAAGGCAACGGAACTCGTTCGTAGCGAGACTTACGCTACCCCCCGCTCTCCTCCCGGCACCTGTTTTGCTGGGTCCTTGGTTGAGTGCGATAGTTGCGTTCTTCGTGACTTCTTGACCGGTCATCTACTGCTCGGCTCCCCTGCTAGTAAGTTCCTATGGTCTAGTGGTTATGACGCTTCGTTGTGGTCTAGAAGCTCCGAAGCAGCCCGTGTTCGATTCACGGTGGGGACAGATGCTTTTGCTTGGTGCGGCCTCCACTGGGGGGAGCGCCAGACAGATTTTCAGCACACCAAAATGTGGTGGAAAAGCAGGTATTTTACATTTCGGTCGCATTTTGAAACATCTTGATCTCACGTGCCATCTGGGTAGGTTTTCGCGAGTACAAAAATATTCCCCAGCAAGAGCCAATAAGATGGCGGTAGTTGCGTTCTTGGAGCTCACTCTCGCCCACCACGAGACTGAAGCCATAGCGCGGCCGCCGTGTCCTCACTAGGACTTGTAGTACGTACGACATATATCATTGGAGTCGACTCATCAATGATTGTGCAGTTATCTTCATCTGCGGGGATGGTGCAGCGATCGATTGCAGGGAGCTGTTGGTTTAGTAGGTGTAATTGGACAAAACGATTATCTCCAACAGGTAGGCGGCCCTCATTATATCTCTCAGTAGCTCAAACCCTGCGCTTATTTGCGACTGTAACGAGACCCACGCCCTTGATTATCTTCTCCTTTTGCTGGTCCAGGTGAGCATGTAAATTCAGCTCCCGAGCTGGCGAGACTTAAGATGAACACAGGTCACCAGTACAGCATGCGGGGACCAAGGGGTTGGAGTTATCATAGACATGCGAGACCGTGCGTACATTTAAACACTCACACGATGAGCTCAAAGATAATCCAAACAGGTCATTCTGCCAGCAGGAAAATCCAACGATGTATCTGGGTGTCTGGTTTGCTTGCTAACGGCGTCACTGTATTCTTTACCAAACCTGGAATATATGATACAGCATGCTCGAACTGTCCCAACGCATATATACACAATAAACGCGATGGTGGACGTACAGCCCCGAGCTCGGCAAGCTCACGTGTGAACGAAAATATGTGTCAAGATGCGCCTAAAAGGTGGCATCGGCAGCGTATTTTGAGATTCTCAAAAAAGCGCTGACATTTGTCAAGATGAACTTTGGCCCCGCCCCGCCCCGCCATACCTCCGGAGCAGGGGGTTTGTGTAGTTTAAACCATTACTAAATCAGCAGCAACCTTTATAAGCAGCATACATGCTTGTCATGCAGTTGGAGCCCGGGGCAAAGCCCCGGGCTAGCCTGACGCTAATGTTTATGTGGACCCTGTTTGTCCCTGCTGACTAAGAATCCGTTTTTGCGACAAAATACAGTGTTGATTACGCGGACGCAGAATTAACCAAGGTGAACTCAAAAAGTGAACAAATGCTGAACACAAGACAGTTTACTCGTCTCCAATCTTGGGTGCGAGGTAGTACCGGATGTAGCCTTGACCAAACTTGTAGTCCACCTGGAGCAAGCACGAGTCAGCGAGAGATAAGCTTGTCCAAGAAAAGGTACGCACCAACAGCGGGACCTCGTTGCTCATCCTGAGTGTAACATGATTGGCCAGAGCCGTCGACTTGGAAAAGTTGACCAGGTACTTGAGCGAGAACGTCAAGTTCACGCCCTGGCTGAGCTCAACCATCACACCACCCGTCGACTCGGATCCCTCGTCGCCCTTCTTTTTGGACTGAGAGGAGCGCTTGCGCTTCTTGGATGCGCTATCCGACTCCTCCTCGACGTCAGATCCGCCCTCTTCCTCATCATCTTCCTTTTCCTCTTCGCCGTCCGAGCCAGGCTTAAACAACCCACCCTTTGCTCCACCGTCGTCTTCCTCCTCCTCCTCCTCCCCGTCTTCCATCTTGACATCTTCGTCTGTGCGCTTGCGCTTCCTAGGCTTGTCAGACTTCTCCTTCTTGACCTTGACTTTCTTTTTAGTGGCATCGTCCATATCCTTGTAGCGCTCTCGTGCGCTCTCGGTGGCCTTGAGCAACACGCTGCCGTTCGCAGCTTCCCCGTCTGCGGAGAACCGGATGCCCTCCTTGGTGACCTCAATTTTAACAGACTCGCCAAGGGCACTAAGATCCCGCACGATACGCGCAAACTCGGCCGACTGCATCACCACCGTCGCGTCGTAATCGGTCTCTGGAATGCCGAGCGTGTCGATATCGATTTCCATGAGCTTCATCTCATATTCAGCGATTCTATCAGAATCTGCAGACAGATCAGCAGAATTCAAACCGAGAGATAGGGGACGTACTGCGCGCTTCGTACACAAGGTTGAGCACGTCCGCGTTATCAGTGGCCTTGAGCGTGACTCGATCGTCGTCCTTGGCGCACTTGAGAACCTTGGTGAGCGAACCGAGGTTCACACCAAGTGGCATCGGACGGTCGCAGCGGTACTTTTCGAACCCATCCTGATCAAGCCTGACAGCGACCAGCGCGACGTGCGAGTTATCCATCGCTTGGAGGTTCTGATCGAACCAATCTCAGCACATAGGCTCGAAGCTAGCTACGACTCGAGACGGAAACGTACCAGGCCCTCCTCATTGCACTCAAAGTTCGCGTCAGAAACAAGCTCTTTGATCGCTGTAGAATGTTCGACGCGTCAGAAATACAGCGACACGCGTATAACCGTCGTTCATTTACCATCCAGGAGTTTCTTGAGAATCACAGCCTGTTCAAGACGCGCTTCGAGCATTTTGTTAAGCAAGTAGTGGTGGGGGGATGGATGGGAATCAGACAAGGACGCGTCTCTCTAAACAAGGGCACGTGACAAAGCCTCACCTCCTGCCACCAAAACGGCTAAATCAAGAGCTGATCTAGTCACGACCGCAGCCCGCCCCAGCCTAAGATAAATATATCATGGTTAAATATTGATAGTCATTTATCACTCTTTTCGCCCTCAGTATACTAGAACTGGCCCAGATATCCTGGAGGTATGCATACCAATCCGATATGGTGTAGTGGCTAACATTATCGCCTCTCACGCGATAGCCCTGGGTTCGATTCCCAGTATCGGAGCTTTTGTTGCACCGTCCTACAGAAAAGGGCCAACCGAAGGCTAGCTTATCATCCTAGACCGCTCATGACGGTTCGTCTTTGTGTGCCCCCGCGAGCTAGACTGGAATACCATAAACTAGCCAATGCAACTCTGGTGTACAAACATCAGAAACCTATCCCAGCTCAGTTCCTGGCGATTGTGGGCGAGGTTTGCCATAACTGGGAAAAGTTTCAGCTTTTAACATTTATTCAACTTGGCTCAGCAAAATACGGATAATTGAGATCGCACAACATAGCTCCCATTTTACAAGCCCTTTTGCTTGTAGAAATAGTTCATTATTCCACGCGCATGTGATACCGTCAGGTTGAACAGCGGATGCGTCGCGTTCTAGAGCTAAGCGGTGAGGATGGACCTCAAGCCGGACGCATTTAACCAGCTTACCACACGGTTCTGTTCTCCGCCAAGATAAAAATGCGCGCCTTCGTCTTCCTGCCAGGCACAAGCTCGAGCCCAAGTAACTCGCCGCAATTCCTCAACGCCGCCTAGTACGGGGCCAGTTGAGCTTTGCCATGCCGCTTCAAGCTTCTTCTCCGTGACCAAAGACCGGTAAACTCGGTGTTGTGCCGTAGAAAGTCCAGCGAGGTTGTAGTTCGTATGGTACAAGTCAGCTGGCCTAAACCGAACATGAGTGAACAGTTCGGTGAGTGAAACATCCATACACGCACTTTCCGGGCTTATCTCGCAGTCCGCCCGAAGACATTTGAGAGGAAACCAACGTAAAACGTTGAAGAGCGGTCTTGTCGAAGAGCACAGTCGGTCCATCTATAATAGTTTGGTCAGAACTCGAGATCGCACGGACGAACCAGACCACCAACAATCACAATCGGACCACGCACTTTCGTTGTCTTCTTCCTCCGTGACATAACTAACCACCTCTGTCTCGCCTTCCTGATTCCCTTTTCCAAGGAGCTCCAGAAGCAAGGGTTCTAGCCCTCCAATCCACCACGAGTAACACCCATCCACGAGCTTGTTGCTGCGCCCACGGAACCCGCCTCCCTCTATCGGCGATCCTTGCATCCCAGCAGCCCACCGAACCAGCTTCTTGACGTTGACTCCAGATTCTATTATGTTCATTGTTACCGTCTGTTTACGTTTGAAAGGCAGCATGTAACCCACCTCCAGGCTTGTGGTGTGGCTGCAGTAACATCCAGCTTGCGATTGCACACGAAGTGTAGCCACCGTGCGCCTCCCCCAATGTCGGGCGAACGGCGGACAACACTTGGGGCTCACCATCCTCTGCACTATAGTAGGGGTGTGAAGACGACGCAAAGCCCCCTTCGTACGTCTGGCAGCTGCGCAAAAATTCGGCCGTCCCTTTGACAAGTCCCGGCGTGAGGATGTCAAGCAGGGTGGCCGTTACTAATAGACAATACGTCCCACTACAAGCGCGTATAAGCCAGACCAAGGCTCGGGTTAGACAGCAGCCACTCACCGAACATCGACTTCCGCGTCCTTATTGACGATAAACGACCCATCAGGCTGCTTCATTCGCATGTAAAATTCGTAAATTTTTTGTCTGTGGATCGGGATCGGGATCAATGCGTGACAAGAAAGGATATATAAACAATATAAATGTTTACACACCTGTCGATCTGATCCCATCCCCCATTTTCTCCAGGGCGACCAACTATAGCCAGCGCGCAAACAGAGGCATAGGTAGGTAACAAATGTGGTAATTGGCCTGGTCCGCCACCGAACCCGCCATCGGGGTGTTGACATGCCATTATCGTGTCGATAGCACTATGCCAGGGGCTGGATAAAACCTAAGCGACTGACAAAAACGCGAGGTACGTACTGTTGCTTAGTCGTGGTATCAAGTTGAACCCCAAGGCAAGTGAGACTTTGTAAGGCCCAATACAGAAGCCACGGCTGGGATGCGTCCTGCGCTGTATAGCGCCCTGGGAGGCCTTGCATGAGCGCAGTGTGCGCCCATCGGGCGTGCATGTTGCGATCGAGTTTGACACTGGTATTGTATACAGCGTCAATCTCAGCAACTTAAGCAGACCTGTTGGTAAACGCCTCACTCGGAAGGATCCTTGAGCACAAGAAAAAGGTCCGAAATTGCTGTTTCTGTGTCAAACTGGCGAATCCCAACGCGTGATTTACTA